TTTTTTTTTTTTTTTTTTTTTGTATTTTTAGTCTTATTCCTGCTCAGGCTGGTCTGAAACTACTGACCTCAAGCAGTCCTCCCACCTCAGCTTCCTAGAGTGCTATAATTACTGAAATGACCTACCATGTCCAGCCCAAATTTCTTTTATTCTTTAGGATTTCACAGGCTGACAAGTGACAATGACCCACCCATATTCTAGCAAGTAACAAGGGCACCCTTGCAAGTTTTAAATGAGTAAATTAAGAAAAATCCAAAGGAAATATTACTTTACATTAACATTTTAAACATTTACATAGGTGGAAGAATAAGGATCATAATGCTGTGAGAGCCAGGATGAACTAGAAATATAAGTGGGTTTCTTTGATGTTGCTATAAAGGATGATAGAAGACTCACAATGGATTATTCATGGAAATTAAGGTGTTTGGGGGATCCTCCCACAGTGGGTTTTGGGTCTTCTGCCTTTGCATAAACAGATAGCTGAGGTAAGGGAACTGCGGACAGCCAATAAGCAGCACCTTAGCCTTGCTCAGGCCTGTAGCTCTTTCCCTCTGCCATCCTTGATAGATACGGCTAGAAACAGTTAGTTAATGAAGCCCTTTTCCTTCTTTCCTTCCTTCCCTATCTTCCGTCCTGCGGAGATGCTAACCAGAAGGGAATTGCTCCCCCAAGACCAGATAGCTGAAGGGGAATGAAAGTGATGCAGTGGGCCCCTGGATATGGGACCCTGAACAATGTCTCCTTGGGAGGGTTGAGGTAGCCGTCTGCTTGCTCTCTTGAATTTGCCATCTTTTGGCTTGGTACGCACTGGACACCAATTACATTCTAATACTGGAAACACAGTCATAAAATGTAAATGATTGGCCTTATTTCTATTATGTATGAATATAGGAGGTAAAACATAGAAAGCTAAATCGAGCTCAAGGTCAGTATGCCACCATATAACTTTCTACATTGCAAATATAAAGTAATGATTTCTTGGCATTCAGCTCAAGCCCTTGAGCAAATCCACTAACAACCTCTAATGGATGTGCCTAAAAAGGATCCCTAATGCATTTTACAGTTCACGTTATTATCATTCACTATTCACTATCCAGGTGACTATCTAGAATGTATTTTAAAAGAAGTATGTGAAGTTTCCCCCCTGAAGACCCTTAGCTGTTTTGATATTGAGGAAAATTCTACCCTTAAAATAACAAAGCTCCTCCAAATGAACGCAAATCTGGAGTTTAACTTACTGTGATAGAAGTCGCTGACTCTGGAGGAATTATACCTCCTTAGACTTTAATTTTTTGTAGCAGCCCTATATTACTGACTTGACTAAGTATTAAAAACCAAAGCTTTTAT